ATATATATATATATATATATAGAGAGAGAGAGAGAGAGAGAGAGAGAGAGAGAGAGAGAGAGAAATGGGTATGCTTGATACCAAGTACAAAAAGTTGTGTTTGGTAGTGAGGTGATATAATCCACTCTACTTATTCAAATGATTACATATCCCCATACACTCCTCAACCCATATGAATGTAGTCTCTTATTTGAATGAGTGGAGGGGATTGTGTCACCTCACTACCAAACACAAAATTTATGCTTGGTACCAAGCATATACATATTTCTCTCATATATATATATACACCCGACTTTTTTCTCTTTTCTTCATCATCCCTCACGTTCTGAGCAGCATCCACCTCCCCCCCCCCCTAAAACCATAGAAAATTCTATCTTGCTTTGGGAGAAGAATTGTGAAGTAGGGTTCGAGAGGAGGGCGAGATCTTCGGCTTTGGTGAAGGAAGATCGAGTCTCTCTTGCGTTTGAGAGATCAGCACCGATTCTTTTGAGTTGAGGCGAGTTTCATCTCCTCCAACCCCATCCTCATTTTCTTTGTTTTTATTGGATTTTAGAACCTATTTTATGTATAAAGATCACCCCTTTACTCTGTATCACATAAAGATTTAATCTTTCTGATTTAAAAAGTTATGAAACTGATTCTTTAAATTGGGTTGAAGTTTTGAAGTAAATCTGACATGAGATTTTTGTTAATCTATTTGCTTTCATGATGAGTTTACAAACATAAACATGTTAGGGTTATTAGAATCCCTCAAAAAAATATTTGTGTTTTCATATATCAGAGTAAACCCTAATTGCACTAAATCAAGATTATATATATGAGTACTTTGCAATTTTTTGATTTTGATAAATTTTTGAGAAAATCTAACATTTCTCAGGAGTTGAAAACTTTTCTCTGATCGGTTGACTGATCAAGAGAATCAGTCAACCGATTGGTTAGCAGGAAATTTGAATTTTTCCTTTGGTCGGTCGACCGACACATGTATTCGGTCGACCGATCAAGGCTGGTTTTTGTGCATGTGTTATGCACGTCATGCTCGGTCGATCGATGAGATATATTGATCGATTGGTCTAGTGCTGTTTGTAACATTGATCCTTCCCACATGCTTTTGATCGTGAACACGAAGTGCGAGTCGCACGTTGACACACGTGCGAGTAGGGCTGGATTGGTAGGTATACCAATTATATTTTCCTAATACCATGTACCAACCAATATATAATTGGTAGGAAAAAGTCACCATTTCTACCAACCAATAATGTTGGTATACCAACTACTTGGTACGGTTGGTACTCGGTTGGTACGGTTGGTAATAGACTTCTATCAAGATATATATGGCCCAAAAATTTAAAGGCCCAGCTCAACAACACTATTACAAAAAGTTAAAAAGATCATAATTCTCCTGCTGCCAAAGTCCAAACCTGTCTTACTAATTGTCTAATTCAGTAATTCATTGTTGCGAAATAAATAAGAAACTAATAACAAATAACAACAAAAATCCAAACTCCAAAGTGTTATACAAATTCAACCAAATTACCGAATACGAAGTCATAAATTGAACATGCCAAAGTCCAAATAGTCAAACTGCCAAAGTACTAACAAATTCATAAAACAATTGAAAAAAAAGAAATGATAGGTCTAAAAGCGGGACATGTTGACATGTTGTAGGCGGTGATAGTGCTAGGCCATAAACCCCGAACGCTTGATGCCTAAGCAGTTGTTTGAACAGAGCTATTGCTACTTGGGCCGCCCCTTACTGCCTCCAAGTTTTGTGTAAAAGCATTCTCTACAACAATAACATAAATACATAATTAAATCCAATAACAAGTCAAAAAACAATATAGCGCAAACTAAAACACCAAGTTTTGTAGCTGAAGTGCATCGTCATCATCCCTACTGCTAATGGCATTACAATTACATATTGTGAGGACCCTAATGTTATGGTTCAAGATCTTGATTTATGTTATAATGGAATTCTAGCCAATCAACTATCTGTATCAACGATATAGGCAAATAGTGTCAAAGTCACAATTAAAACATCATTCCATAGCAAGTTCAATGGTAAATGCCATCCGGTGAATGTCACCTGCGCCTATCTGAAAGGGAAAGCAAAATAGTAAAGCCATCATGTATACAACCATTTATACAATCAAGTAAATAACAGATACGAGTCAACAATTCATTTCACTAAAATCCATTTTCATATATCAAAGAGCACATGCAAAAGATGACAGCTCAATTGTTCCTAATGAACTTTGAAAAGACACGTGTTCTCAGATAATGTTTAGATTAGCAGCAACACTACATGCAAATGATGACAGCTCCATGTATTTTGTTTATTTTCAAAGGTTGTTAATAGCTAAGAATGTACTTTTCCCATATTATCGCATGTTTGTTAGCTATGAATGATATTGTTTATGTATTTTTTTTTATATCAGATAGCTAGACTTCTTTTCTCTACATATATGACCCAGTTCACAAAGTATCAAAGTTTTTCCTTAGTAGATTTCATTTGCTTCTTTATCTCTACCCTCTTTCATTTACATATATCACAGTTAATTCAAAAATAAAAATAAAAATAAACCAAACAACGTAAAGAAAATCAACAATTACAATTACAAGCCCAAGTCAATCCAATTACAAGCAGATGAATAAAATTGACAATGTCGTGGTCCGTGGAAAGAAACTAAAGAAAACCAATATCTCTAAAGAAAACCGAGATCTCTTCTTTTTGTGCTCTCACAGTTTCACCCAAAATTACAAGCCCAAGTCAATATTTACTTATTTAGTCCTTTCACCCAAAAAAATTGCTTGTGGAAACTAAAGGAAACCAGCAGAAGAATAAAATACATATACAGTTGTTTGATGGCGTTTTACATTTCTATAATTTGTTGGTCTTTATATTTTTTTTTCATGAGCAGGTGTGTGAACGAGCTTCGTATCTGTGCAAGTGCGACTGTGCTCCTTGTTCTCTCCATAAACATTCATGAATCCTATTTAATGAAGTAAGGACATGTTTAACAATTCCATGCACCTAAACTAATTTAGTGGAGCAAAAATTGAGTTTAACTATACCGGTGGAGGAGGAGGAGCTCGACGGTGGAGGAGGAGCTCGACGGTGTACAATTACATATTGTGAGGACCCTAATGTTATGGTTCAAGATCTTGATTTATGTTATAATGGAATTCTAGCCAATCAACTATCTGTATCAACGATATAGGCAAATAGTGTCAAAGTCACAATTAAAACATCATTCCATAGCAAGTTCAATGGTAAATGCCATCCGGTGAATGTCACCTGCGCCTATCTGAAAGGGAAAGCAAAATAGTAAAGCCATCATGTATACAACCATTTATACAATCAAGTAAATAACAGATACGAGTCAACAATTCATTTCACTAAAATCCATTTTCATATATCAAAGAGCACATGCAAAAGATGACAGCTCAATTGTTCCTAATGAACTTTGAAAAGACACGTGTTCTCAGATAATGTTTAGATTAGCAGCAACACTACATGCAAATGATGACAGCTCCATGTATTTTGTTTATTTTCAAAGGTTGTTAATAGCTAAGAATGTACTTTTCCCATATTATCGCATGTTTGTTAGCTATGAATGATATTGTTTATGTATTTTTTTTTATATCAGATAGCTAGACTTCTTTTCTCTACATATATGACCCAGTTCACAAAGTATCAAAGTTTTTCCTTAGTAGATTTCATTTGCTTCTTTATCTCTACCCTCTTTCATTTACATATATCACAGTTAATTCAAAAATAAAAATAAAAATAAACCAAACAACGTAAAGAAAATCAACAATTACAATTACAAGCCCAAGTCAATCCAATTACAAGCAGATGAATAAAATTGACAATGTCGTGGTCCGTGGAAAGAAACTAAAGAAAACCAATATCTCTAAAGAAAACCGAGATCTCTTCTTTTTGTGCTCTCACAGTTTCACCCAAAATTACAAGCCCAAGTCAATATTTACTTATTTAGTCCTTTCACCCAAAAAAATTGCTTGTGGAAACTAAAGGAAACCAGCAGAAGAATAAAATACATATACAGTTGTTTGATGGCGTTTTACATTTCTATAATTTGTTGGTCTTTATATTTTTTTTTCATGAGCAGGTGTGTGAACGAGCTTCGTATCTGTGCAAGTGCGACTGTGCTCCTTGTTCTCTCCATAAACATTCATGAATCCTATTTAATGAAGTAAGGACATGTTTAACAATTCCATGCACCTAAACTAATTTAGTGGAGCAAAAATTGAGTTTAACTATACCGGTGGAGGAGGAGGAGCTCGACGGTGGAGGAGGAGCTCGACGGTGTCGTGGCGGCGTGGCGTCGTCGGCGACGGACGGAGGGCGAGCTGGTGGTGTCGGACCGTCGGTGTCGTGGCGGTGATATGGGCTGAAATCGTGGGAAGGGGGAGAGGGATTGAGGAATTTGGGGGAAGTTTTGGGGAGAGGGATTTTTGGGGAGAGGAATTTGGGGGAAGTTTTGGGGAGAGGCGAACTGAGACTGAGAGTGGGAGGCTGAGAGAGATTAGGTTAGGGTAAAAAATTGATGGTTGTGATTTATTTTCCCTACTTCTATGGTTGAGATTTAAGGATATATATTTATATATTATATATAATAATTTAATATAATATAAGTTGGTAGGTACGGTATACCATGGTAGAGGAAAATATGTACCACCTACCGTACCATATTTTAAAGCTGGTACGGTATACTGTACCATGTACCATATACCGATTTGATGGTATACCAACGTATTTGGTACGGTTGGTACATGAATTGGTTGGAATGGAATTGTGTACCATTGCCAGCCCTACGTGCGAGACCATGAGAGAGCACGTACTGGATTTGAGCACGCACGAGCCTATTGATATGCGTAGTCTAATGTTTTGCGTATGTCACAATAGGGAGTGACGATTGTTTCAGTTTATAGTAGTTATGGATGCTTGAGTGCGTTAGTCTGTGCACCGCAATGAGAACGCAGTAGACTACACTCTGAGTGTGTTAGTCCGTGCACCATAATGAGAATGCGGTCGACTACACTCTGTGATGCATCATTGTTTTAGTGGTTGAGTTCTCAGGTCCGTGTACCATATGATATAGCGGGTGACGGCACTCCAAATGTGTTAGTCCGTGAGCCGCATAACAATGCAGATGACTACACTCTACATATTTAGGAAGCCTAGAGCTCAGACAAGTACTATTTGTGAACATAAACTAACATTTGACATTCTTATACGGTAGTGTATATTTCAACGAAGCTTTCATAGGTTTGTACTTTTTGCTTCCATGCCATCTACCCGAGGGTAGCGTGAGATACTATGATGCCACATATACTAATTGTCTTGGATGAAATGTTGATGGTCTATTTTTCCTTGCTAATTATTTATTTATTTATAAGATTTGGATTTGATATTTAGTGATCCACAATTTGAGATATATGGTATATATATGAGGGTTTTCTTATTTGGATTATTTCGCTCGATGTACTCATCTCATGTTGTGGATTTCTAAATCTTAAGTCCTCTTAGCTCAGGATATATGAATTATATATTTTATTATTAGTATTTTTATTTACCTAACTCCCTCCCCCTGGGGACGGTGAAGATGTTCTCGCTAGCGCTTTGACACTCGTTATTTCCATCTTTTTTCAGGCAGTGAGTCAAGGGTTCGGAGAGCGCAGGTTGACGGGGACTCTGTGTAGATTTTCGTCAATTATAAGTAGTTAATTAGTGCTCCACAGTAGACTGTTTATGAGTTTAGTTTTTTTAGAGATGCATTTCATTTTGGAGGTTGAGTGCATATGTATTTTTCAGTTGACTCTCATGTATTAGCGATTCGATATTCTTATTCTAGTTTACCAGATGTATTTACTTTTTCTTCTGTTGGAACAAAATTTTAGTTATTATTGGATATCTCTTCTCTATATTGTGTTCTATTTTTGTCGTCTTTGATATATCTATTTGTTCCCTCACTTCTTGTTTTGATATCTACTAAAGCGATATTAATGTGATGGTGAAACATATTTATGCACAGTGTTGGATGACAGGCTTGACATCTCTGGGTTCACCTTGGATTGCAGTGTTGTGTGTAACTAGGGGCGTCATAGGTAGCGAGAAATGGAGGAGGTGGGTAAGAGAGGAGGGAGACGAAAATATAAGCGAGATCTGCCTCCAATCCTTTTTCAATGTTAGGATTTTACAAATTCTAAAATTTGAGTGTTTTTTGAAAATTAGGAATTCAATATCCTAAAAATTTATTTGAAACAAACAAAGTTTATGGAATCCAAAAACTCTAAAAAACCCAATTTTGGATCCTATAATTAGAAAGCCACCCTATACCCCCAAAAAATATCTTGAACCAAACACCTCCTTAGTTTCTAGAGTCGAGTCACATTGATTGGTAGAAGTCTTTCGTTCTTTTTCCCCTCTTTATTGCGGAAAATAAAAGATGATGGACAAATCAAAGCTGCAGAGGAAAAAAATAGCAAACACAAATCTCGGGGTAAATTTTTTTAGAAAAAAGAATCCATGGAAGAAAAAAATTGTCGAAAAATATTAAAAAAAGCGGTGGATTTAAAAAAGGGTATGGACATTTTTATCAAAAGAATCTTCCTCCTCCTAGATAATTAATACATGTATTATAAAGATGGGACAGGAGTGTGTTTATGATAGTCCTCTTTTTGAGTGTTAGCTAATCTCTCGTCAAATATTGTATGAAGAATCTGCAGGGTTGGCGCAAGGGTGTAAGGCCTCACTACGCTAACCCCGTGTTCGGATCCCCTAGTAGGTAAAAAACCTCCAGGCTAGTGTCAGCCACGAAGCACGAACGAGGATTAGTACCATCCATGATAGGGTATGGGGATACCTCGTGAGAAACCAAAAAAATAAATAAAAAAAATGTTAGTATAAATCGGATAAAAAATAAACATAGGCTTAAACAGTGGGCCTGAACTATTTAAAATGTGTATGTGCTCAACGTGGTGATTTATGAGCACACAATTAAATATTTAACGGATTAATTATGTAATAGTATTTGTTTTGCATTTCTTATATTTTATGCAATCTATAAAAATGTTTTTTCAATTTCAAAGAAGGAATAAATAGTTTTTATTTAGGAAGAATGTAGTTTTTCTCGGAAAATATTAGGGTCTAAATGATAACCAAAAGTTACAAGTGCACAACTATCAAGTTATAGTATAAAAAATTTATTGATCCCACGAGGAAGGTGTTGTAGGTACAAATCTAAATTGGTTCTTATGTTGTGTGTGTGACAATTAGGTGTGTTGTAAGTGCATGATTATGGATAGATATGGGGAGTGGTTGTGAATATATGCAAATAAGGAAAATAAAATAAGGTCGAGAAGAGAGAAGGAAATCAAAGAAAATAAAGAGAAAAAAATCAAGAACAAGATAAAATTCAAGAAAGTAAAGATGGAGGATTCAATTAAACATATGAGGAATCTAGAACTGAATCCACTAACTAATTTCAATTATAGAATATAAACCATTCTCTTTAAATCATATTTTACTTTATTTTTATTAAGCATAGACTATCAAACCATTTAAGAAAAACATAACCTATCAAATTATTATCTAAGAAAAATTAAAATTCATGAAACAAACAATAACTAGATAGTAATTCTAGAATTCATAAGCATAAACTATCAAATTACTCAAGATAAGCATAGATTATCAAATTTTTCTTCTACCAATTAGTTCTCTAGTTGATTATCCTACACATGATCATTTTAAGTGCAAGAGAATAATTTGCAAACTACAAAAGAAATTATGCTAGTTTCATACAATTCTAGAATTCCTACAAGAATTAGTTTCACATCTTAGGAAGTAAAAATAAGAAATGAAATCTATACTAGAGAAGAATAAAAGAAAAGAATAAAGATAAATACTAATTACAAAGAAGAGAAATGAGAACAATGGAATTTACACTATAAACATAGAAATAAATCTAACTAAATTGTAAAAGAAATGAACATAAATGAAGATCTAAATTATTCAAGAAAATAAATCTACTCTACAAATTAAAAGTGCAAGATAATAATGAAAGAAATAAAGACAAGAAAATAAGTCTACTCTATAAGGCATTAATGTAAATCTAAATTACTACAAAGAAATAAAAATAAAAGAGAAAATTTACATTACAAGAGGGTTTAGCCTCTTGAAAGCAAACCTTCAAATTAATCTTTATTTTCATCTCCATCTTCAACTTCATTTTCATCATCAAACAAAGAGAAGAAAAGAAAAATATGAAGAGGTGAAAAAAGTATTTTTATAATTGTAATAAAAAATTATAAAATTAGAAGGTCTTCTCAATTAAGAGTAACCCTCCTACAAAATTTTTTACACCCCAACCCCTCACTTTCTACCTCTATTTATAGCCTACAACAATGATTGAGAGTCATTGGATTAAACTTGACCTCTAAGTTAATCAATTTCAGCCCTTAATTCTGTAACAATAATTAGGTATCGATACTGCTATCGATAGCTAGTCTTTTTCATTCTTTGGCTGATTCTTCTTTTGGGCTTGGACTCTTGGGCTTTTAGAGAGATGAGATATTGAGTTTTTCTTAAGCTTTTGTTCATTAACCTGCAATTAAGATAAAATATGTTATTAGTAACAAATTTATTTAAATTAAATAGATAATGATGGTATAAAATATAATATAAACGTGAATATAAAAAAGGAGACGTACTAATAAAATATTATAAAGAAATGTAAATAAACACTATCATGTCACGAATATGTTAAATATTTGACCGTGAACTCACAAAATGATCACATCGAACTAACAACATAGTTTAAGGGACAAAATATGTAAATTGATGCTTTAGATGAGAAGTTGAGATTCACTCATACTTTAAGGATAAGTTAGTTATTTTATTGTTGCTTCTAATTGCCAATCAAGAGTTGATTTAATAGTAAAAGAAGATAGGAATTAGTGATAAATTTTTTTCAATTTTAAAGAAGGAATACATAGTTTTTTTTGGAAGAAAGTAGTTTGTCTCAGAAAAAAGGAGACATACTAATAAAATATTATAAAGAAATGTAAAGGAAGAATGTTAAGTCATTATAATATGTTTAATATTTGACCGCAGACTTACAAAATGATCATATTGAACTCACGAAGGGACAAAATATGTAAATTGATGCATTAGGTGGGAAGATGAGGTTCACTCATACTTTAAGGATGAATTAGTTATTTTATTGTTGTTTTTAAGGGTCTGTTTGGTTATTCCCAAAAAATCAAGAAATTGAAATGAAAAAGTAAAAATTTTAAAAAGTACAATTTCATCCATTTCCATCCCTAAAACTCACCCCAACATCCAATAAAATATTATTTTTATCCAACAACTCATCCATAATATCTAATAAAAAAATATTTTCATCCAACAACTCATCCACCACATCTAATAAAATATTATTTTTATCCAATAACTTATACACCACATCTAA